CGCATCTCCTAGAACAAAAGCACGGCATGATGCTATTATTCCGTCTCACATTAACAATGTCACCCAGTTCAAATTCCAATTTCTCCAGTTACTACTAGAATGGTTTTAGAGGTTTTTTTTTTCCTTTTCTTTTTGGATTGGTGATTGAATCCAAGGGTACTTTACCAATGAGCTATATTCCCAGTTTTATTTACTCTATTTGTTTTTAAATTTTAAGACCAGGTTTTGCTAAGTTGCTGAGGCTGGCCTTGAATTTTTAATCCTCCTGTCCCRGCCTCCTCAAGTTGCTAGGATTACAGATAGGTGCCACCATGAGGGCTGGAAAGTATATTTTATACCTTCTTCTCCTTCCCTTCTTCTCCTTCCCTCCYYCATCTTCCCTTCCTCCCTTCCGTCCTTCCCTTCTTGCTTTTATTTTTTGAATGAGGATCCAGTTGAGATTCATGTGTTACATATGATTATTTCTTTTTAGATCACCTGCACATTTTTATGATCTTTTTATTGTTATTGTTATTCTTTTGGTACTGGGGATTGAATCCAGGGGCGCTCAACGACTGAGCCGCATCCCAGCCCTTTTTATATTTTGAGACAGGGTCTCACTAAATTCYTTAGGGCCTCCCTAAGGATCCTTTAGGATCGTTTGAACTTGCGATCCTCCTACCTCAGCCTCCAGAGCCACTGGGATTATAGGTGTTGACCTTTTGAAGAGTCAAGACCACTTTTTAAAAAAATGTTCTTATTCTTAATTCATCTGGTTATTTCCCGTGAGTCATCTAATGTGTTCCTTTATCCTATGCATTTCCTGTAAACTAGAAGTTAGATCTGCAGGCTGATCAGGCACCGGAGATTTTGGTCCTGCCAACAATCTACCGGGAGTAATGCGGCGCACTCCGCGTGGTGCCCCCAGGGGGCGCCCGCGAGCAGGTGGCGCCGCTGTTCTGGGGCTCCCCGAGGTTGAGGGGTGGCTGGGGCCGGGTCGGGGAGGAGGATTCCTCTGCGAGTTGCAAGMGAGCTGGGGCCTGGAGTGCGGTGCGCACAGAGGCAGGATCTTGACAGAGAAAATCCTAACCGAGGTGGACCCATTGGGGGCCAGGGAGTAATCGGACACCACTGGCTCCCAGAAGTTGTGGGGGGCCCGCGGCTGCCCCAGACTGCGGAGGGTCTTGGAGCTGAGAGAAGKGGGGCTGGGAAGGCTTCCAGCTGMGGGTAACCAGGGTAACAACTGGGCAGGTGGACGTCCCCAGGCTGTCGCAGGGGGCTTCCTCTGGAGCAGCCGGGGGTATTGGGGGCAGAGGTGTCCCTGTGCACACACATCGCCAGGCTGCAGGTGGTTGGGACCCCATCTGGGTGCCCCAGAGAGCTGGTGCTGTGACTGTGACACAGGAGGGGGTCCYCAGCCCCGAAGCAGACTGTGGAGAGGAGGGTGGGGAGCCCGGGGTGCGCCTGCAGGGCCCAAGGAGAAAGAAGGCTGGGGYCCCCCCACCATCTCCAGGGGCTGGGAGAGCGCATCCAAACCATCCTAACCATTGTAAGTGTGCCCTTTGGTGGCAGCGAGTGGCTTCACACTGTTGCACTACTACCTCCACAAGTCACCTTTACAAACCGAGACTCCCATGCTCACCTCCCCCGACTCACTGCTGTCCCAGGTTGCCACCGTTTTACCTTCTGCCTCTGGGATCTTGACTACTCTAAAAACCCCCTTCAAAAGAAACAACGAGTGTCATTTTGTGACTGGCTTATTTCACTTRATATAATGTCCTCCAGGTTCATCCAGGTGTCACATGTATCAGACTTCCCTCCTTTGGAGGTCAGAGGTATTCCATTGGATGGATACATCCTGTGTTTATTGGCTCATGTGCTGATGGACACTTGGCTGTTTACACTTTTGGACTATTACCAAGGGTGCTGCAAATGAACGGAATGTTCACATATCTCTTTGACACTCTGCTCTCTTTTTCTTTTTTCTTTTTTTCTTTTTCTTTCTTTCTTTTTTTTTTTTTTTGTAGACCTACCCAGAAGTGCAATTGCTGGATCATATAATTCTATTTAATTTTTATTTATTTATTTAATTTTATTGGTTGTTCAAAACATTACAAAGATTGCAGAATTTAATTTTTTTTTAAAAGAACTGCAGCTGCAACATTTTCTATTTCCCACCACCAGCATGAAAGAGTGCCAATTTCTCAACACCTGTCTGGGTCTTTCATTTGTTTTTGCAGTGCTGGGGTTSGCCTAGGACCTCAGGCGTGATAGGCAAGTCCTTGACCACTGAGCTACATCCCCCCAGCCCTTCGTGATTTTGAAAGGCTGGTCTCAAACTTTGGAACCCTCCTGCCTCAGCCTCCACAGTAGCTTTTTTGTTGGTTGGTTTGATAGTAGCCATCCTGATGGGTGTGCCATGGTATGTCATTGTGGTTTGATTTGTATTTCCCCAGTGATTGGTGGCATTGTGTATCTTTCATGTATTTGTTTGTTTTGRTCTTGGGGATTGAACTCAGGGGCAGTCGACCATGGAGCCCCATCCCCAGCCCTATTTTGTATTTYATTTAGAGACAGGGTTTCACTGAGTTGCTGAGTATCTTCTTTGGAGAAAGGTCCATTCAAGTCCCCCACTTTGTAAATGGGCTCTTCTTGCCTTCCTGTCTCATTGGATTCTGACAGTCACAGGAACTGACATAGACTTTTCTGTCCCTTGTTTACCAGACAGACTAAGGCTCAGAGGGGCACAGCACCTTGCTCCAGCTGCCCAGCCAGAGAGAGTTCCTATATCTGTCAGAATCCACAATATGTGCCCTTCCAGATGCTTCTTTCTGGCAAGTGCTCTGGGTGTCTGGAGCTGCTGCCCTGGAAATTGCACTGTGAGAGGCAGATATGGGGACAAAGGACACTTGTGGCCAGATGTCCAYAGAACCGCTGCTTATGCTCGGGAAATAATGAAGGCATCCAAGGGCAGAAGGCTTCTTTGTTGTCTCAGGAGAGTGAATGAGCTGTATCCCTAGCTCCAGGGGAGGGCCAGGTCCATGGACAGCCGGGGAMCCCCAAGGAGTCCAGCACCCAGTGAGCCCCGGACCCGCTTCCTCCTCCTCCTGGACACACAGCTGGCCATTTCCCAGCATCCCTTGTGGTCAGGAAGGCCAAGGCTGGGTGGTTGAATGACTGTGCTGCTTCAGTCTCTCGACTTGGGGACTAAATAAATGGCCTCTTCGAATCCTCCTAACAGCGGGTCCCAGTGTGGGCTGGGGGTTGGGGCTCTGGGGAAATGTCTGGGCCTCCTTGTTGGCCCCTGAGTGCTGCCTCCCAGCCCTGTATCCCCTCCCTGGGGACCTTGGCAAGTCCTCTCATATCTCAGTGTCAAGGCTTYCCAGTGGGAGAGAGGGGGACTCCGTGCACCATCTTGCGGGAACAGCAAACACCAAAAGCCACAGCAAACACTATTTAAGAGGATTTATTTTCCAGAAAGTCTGGGCAGCAGAGGGGGTGGGCAGCAAGGAAGGGGACCCCAGGGCAGGTGAGGGCTCTGCTCACAGGCAGCAGGCAGGTGAGCAGGGCCTGTGGCAGGCGGATGACCCCGGGCTCCCGGAAGGACAGAGGCCCTGAGAGACGAAGCAACGCGTCTGGCAAACCGTCCCTCCCTGCACACTGACCCTGAGCCCTTCACAGCCCCCTGAGGCGGCTCTTCTCCTCCTCCCTCCTCAGGTGAGGCCTAGAGAGGGGCACCATCTCCTCAGGGGTCACACAGTTCCAATCACCCACTGAGTCCCTCCAAAAGGACTCCCACCACCTGTGACACTGCTGTCCCTAGGGAGGCACAGGTAAGTCCCGAGTCCCAGTTCTTAGCCTGGCCCCAACCACCTGCAGACAGACTCCTTCACGGCACTGTAAACCCCCCCACAGCTGCCCCACCACGCCAGCCGCCTCGCAGGCCAGGACCTTGTCCCCTCCCACCCAATTCCTGAAATCCCCCTATTCTTTCATTTCCTCTTAAGTAGTTACAATCTTTTCACATATAAATAACTGGAGCTTATAWAACCAAGTCAGGTAGTCGTGGTCACCACAGCATGAATTCGGTTATCAGCTATTTAGGGAAGGAGGAGGGAGGTGGCGTGGGGTGGAGCTCGGGCCTGAGTGCTGGATGTCAGAGGGCCACCAAGTCTGAGGGAAGAAAAAGAGCAAGAAGCCCAAGCCGCGCTGGGCAGGCACCTCAGCGGCAGAGCGCTTGCCTAGTTCAATCCCCAGAGCCAAAAAAAGAAAAAATAAATAAAAATAATAAAAATTAAAACTAACAATTTTTTTTTTTTTAAAAAAGACCCAGTAGATAGCAAAAATTTGATGCGGGGGGATGAATTGGGGCAAATTTGGGAATTCACATTTGACACAGCTGTCCCCTTTCTAGTGACCTGAGTCTGTGTTGAAGGATGACATCCTTTTGGTGAAAGATGGGGGGACATTATTCTTGTTGATTCAGCCCGTGGCCCCTTGGATTCAGGCCCAGGGCCTGGAGGCCAGCAGACAGGGTAACACAGATGGGGACCTTGGCCTAACCAGGAGGGCCGGATAGCAGGCAGCCCCAGATCCTGAGCAGACTCAGGTTGAGTCTGTTGGGGACCAGGAAAGTCACAGAATGAAACTCCATCGTGGCCTGCCGAGGCAAGCAAGGCCTCAGAGGGACATGCCCAGGGGTACAAATGAGGGGCTGGGACGGGAGGCAGGAGACTGCAGCTCAGTGTGCAGGAGGGGAGGGGACGAGGCCGGAGGGGACCAGCAGACCTGGAGGCTGGGAGCAGGTCCAGGAGCTTGGAAGCCATGAGGAGCCAGGGCAGAGACTACCCCAGGGGAGGAGAGGTGACCAGGAGGCCTGGCTGAGGGGACAGCTGCCGGGACGGAGCTCAGGGAATGCGGAGTCGCTGGCACAGGCTTCTGTTTGGCAGCTGCCATGATGGCGGAGAGGGAGGGCTCGCCGAGCCTTCCGGAAGCCAAGGCCGTGGTCATCCGGGACCTTCTCACTCTTGTAACTTCTGAATGATCCTCTTCACCCAGGGCAGTTTGGGGTTGGCACAGATCTCCCGGTCCCTGATGGTTTGCAAGCTGGAGGGAGGAGATAGCAGGGAGACGCGTGGCAGCATTAGCATCCAGCACACACACTCCAGGACCTTAGCATTTATGGCTCACCTACTGTATGCAAACCATATTTCTCAAGAAGAGGAGGGGAACAGGAAGGGCTTTCGGGATCCTCTGCTCCTCTGTCCCCAGCCTTGACTGCCTGGTCAGGCCATGCTCCAAGTGGTGGACTTTGGAGCCAGCCTCTCTGAGTTCAGCTCTAGCCTGGCCACTTGTTAGCAAGTCGCTTAACTTCTCTGAGCCTCAGTTTCCACAGGTGTAAGATGGGGATGATAATCATAGTGTCAACTTGATGAAAATTTGATGAGTTAATGCAAACTCGAGTACTCAAAAAATTACACACTGAAGTGCTGCAGCACATAGTAGGTGCTATATAGTTACGCCAGGAGCTGGCATGATTTTTTTACACTGATTTTCTTTGTTTTTGGCAAGGGGCTGGGTACCAGGGATTGAACTCAGGGCACTCGGCCACTGAGCCACATCCCCAGCCCTATTTTGTATTTTATTTAGAGACAGGGTCTCACTGAGTGGCTTAGTGCCTCACTGTTGCTGAGTCTGGCTTTGAACTCATGATCCTCCTGTCTCAGCCTCCTGAGCCACTGGGGGATTTACAGTTGTGTGCTAAGGTGCCCCCACCTACACGGATTTTCTTAATTCTCACAATAACCCATTGAGGCCCTATTATTCAACCCATTTTACAGAAACTGAAGAAACTGAAGTCACTGGACATAGTGGCACATGCCTATAAATCCCAGTGACTTGGGAGGCTGAGGCAAGAAGATCACAGGTTTGAGGCCAGCCTTAGCTCCTTAACAAGGCCCTAAGAAATTTAGTGAGACCCTGGCTCAAAATGGAAATTAAAAAGGCTGGGGATGTGGCTCAGTGGTTAAGTACCCCTGGGTTCAATCCTCTGTACCATAAAAAAAGAAAAAAGAAAAAGAAAGAAACAAGAAACTGAGGTCTACGGAGGTAAAGCCACTGGCTGCACCGTGATCGTGAAGCTGGGACTCCCCTGGCCCTCTGAGAGGCCGGAGGCTCAGGGAGGAGAGGCGGGCTCTGGCCCAGGATCACACAGTAAGTGTGACCTCGGCTCTTGCCTCCCCACTGCAGCAAACATGTGGGCCCTGGCCCTGGAGCAGGTATCGGCAGGGGTGGGCTCACGGCTGGCTGGTGGTGGGAGCCATGCCCCTGCCCAGGATTCCCTTCCTGCCTCTCAAGACCCTGTCCTCTGGGCCCAGGAGTTCTTGGTCCCCTCACCCCCTGGCCTGCCCCACTGCACAGACAACTGAATAGAGAAAGACTGAAGAAGGCAACAATGCCCACCCGGGCCCCCTGGGCAGCCCGCCCAGCCACTGTGGTCCCTGAGCAAGACCCGGCTCCTCCCTGAGCCTCCATCTCCCCATTTGTCAAGCCACATTCTCTCTAGAGCCCCTTCTGGCTCAGAACCCAACGATCACATGTGTGCCCTCTTCTACTGAGCACCTACTRCATGCCGGGCAATGAGCTTGACACCTCCCACAGGCTGTCACTGTGCCCTGTGATGCTCAAGGGGCCACTTAGCTCCTTTGGGCCATCTCCTCTCCCATGGAAAGGGAGGGAGTGCCCACGGCACCGGGTGGGTTCCAGGATACACGAGTCCATATGTGTTCGATGGACCCAGGTCGTTCCTTCCYCTGTACTGACAGGCAACCGAGGCTCGGAAGGGGAATGTGAAGCCCTGGGACGGCTTCCTGCTCCGGCCTTCATTGTCCCCACCTGCGACCCCTCTAAGAGCTGGAGTCAGCGTGGGGAGGAGAAAGATGGGAGGGGGCTGGTGATGGAGCCCCAAGGGGGTCCTGAGCCCCCAGCCCAGCTCSACTKCRTGTGAGATGTGGAGGCCACAGACCTGGGGAGCGGGAAGCCGTCAGGGGGCTACCACTGAAACAGGGGTCTCCCAGCCAGGTGGGGGCCAAGGGAAAGGCAGCCAAGAGCAGAGAACAGGACTCTCAAGAGAAGGGCAGCACAAGGCCCCGGGGTCCTAGCACATGGAGCTGGGCCTTCCCTCTAGGAGCCTGCCTCTCCATCCGGAAAATGGGAACAGTCAAGCTTCTGGAATGAACGCTGGGAGGACCGAGGGAGTTGGCCTGGGCCAGCTCAGGCAAGGCCGGGTATGGGAAGCTCTTGACAAGTGCTAGCTCTTCATGTTGTTGTTCTGACCAAAATGGGCCTCCTCAAATAGCTCCCAGGGGACTGGGGAGACTGGGATGCTTCTGATGGGAGCGGCTCCAAGCCATGGTCACCTGTGCCCAGGACTGTTCCCTAGAGCTATCAGCCGGTAGCCGCCTACTGCCTACGCTGCCGTGCCCAYGCCCGGGCGGCACCCCATGCATCCTCAGACTCTGGCATGCATAGCACAATGTCCTATGATATTTGTCGAATGATCACATTATTTTTGTTTTYGGAACATGCCAACCTGGGGTGAGCCATCTCTTCCAGCCAACTCTTCCAACCGGCATCCAGAGGCCCGGCTGCATTCCTCCAGCCCCGAGTCCGCCCCACCCACTTACATCTGGGCCACCCGGGCTATCCCCTCCAAGGCCCTGTGGCCCTGCTCCCTACTCACACGACACCMGGCCTGCGGCAGGAGTCTGAGGTCCAGTAGAAACTCTTCACCAGACGCTGGGGCAGCGGGAGGCGGATGTAGTCCCGGCAGCAGATGCTGTCTTCCACGTTGGCGCCATAGGGGCCTGGGACAGGGATGCCCAGGGGTGAGCAAGGTGGAGCACAGAGAGGTCACCCTGGGCCCCAGCCCCTGGCCCAGGCCCCTCCAGGGAAGAGATTCTGCTCTCATGTGGAAGGATGGTGTCCAGAAGATTCTAGGCCTTCAAAAACCCTCGCCTCTGAGGAGCCACGAGGGCCCCGGACCTACACTCTGGAGTGGGTGGCTCAGGGGGTGGGATGAGAGCYGCTGAGCAGAGACGAGAGCCCCAGCTTCCCGGTGGGTCTCAGCCACTCTGAGCCAGAAGGATCCTGGGACTTGCTGCAGGGTGAGGCCTGCGGACCAGCAGCTTCGGCTGACAAGTGGGTTGGTCACGGTCCCCACTTCATGGGCCTTCTGTGCTGGGGCAGCTCTGAGGACACTCCACACTGTGAGCAGTGACGTGGTGGCTGTCTGCCTCTACCTGACCCAGAGCAGGGAGCCCATGTGTGGTGAAGGAAGCCTGGACCCCCACATTGAGGGCAGGTGCCAGAGAAACTGGGTGGTGGGAACAGGACCCACYTTCCCAGCTGTCCCTGCTCTGCCTTTTCCTACTCAGGTCAGGCCCTCGGGGGCTCTGCATCCACACCCCAARGGCCCTGTGTTCCAGGGACGGGGGATCCCTGGGTCTTGTCCACCACAACCCCCCAACCTAGTGGAGACAGCTCTAGATGCCAAGCCTTTAGATTACCCATTTAACAGCTGTATAGACTGAGGCCCGGGAGAGCCGTGCCACCAACCCAAAGCCAGAGGACCAACAGCGGACTGGGCTCTTCTGCCCTCAGCGCAGTGCCCTCTCCAGGAGCGGGGCCTGGGCTGGCCTCTGGGGGGATCCCTCCTGCTCCCCAGTCTCACCTGCATCCGTTGCCTGTAGAGCCACCGAGAGGAGGATGAGGGCCACCAGGAGCGGAGCCTGCAGGCTGGCCATGCTCTGTGCTGTGAGTGCCGGCTCGGGCGTCTGCAGTCACCAGGGGACAGGAGGCCCTGGTATTTAAGCCATCCCTCCACCCACCAGGCTCAGACACCTCTTAGTCACCCGTGAGCCCAGAGCCCCTGACATTCAGATCTGGAAAGGAGAAGTCCTCACTTCCTCCCCAGGAGATTCTGTGGCGGGGAACCACTCGGGGGCACCCCCACCCCGTCCAACTCCGGGCCTCCAGAGGTTCACAAAATCCCCCTTGAGCCAGGCCTCCGGGCCCCTCCCTCCCGGGGTCTGCTTGCCGAGGGGCCTTGTCCCTGCAGATCTGGGGGGCTGGTCTCCCAGGAGGGGGTGGGGAGGTGCTTCCATGGCCTGTGTCCCTCAGCAGGTGACGGGACAAGCCCTCTCCTGGAGCTGAGGTCCGTCTCCGGCTTGACGCATGTCACCCATTTCTCTTGGAGGGGAGTGGCCATGAGCCCCTGGGGTTGGTCTCTCTGCCCCTTCCTAGCCTTCTGGGGCTTCGCACTAAGTCCCCACCTGGGCCACCTAGAGCTTGTGGGCCACTCATGAGTCTTTAAGGAGTTTCCACACCCCCACCTTGCTGCTTCTCCTTCTTACCCTCCTCCCCATCGGACACCATGACCACTGGTCCTACTTCCTCAACCTCCCCCGATCCCCGTCCCCACTGCCCCTGCCCCACCGAGGTCACCTCCACCTCATCTTGGACACCGTCCCCTCCATCCCTTCCCCACACGGCGGCAGCCACAGTGCGTGACCCAGACGAGCTTGACACCCCTCTCCCTGCTTCAAACCCTGCTGTGCTCCCCGTGGACTTGAGCGGGGGCCAGGCCTCCTCTCCTGACCTGCCCCCGTGGCCTCCCGCCCTGCGGGTCACCCCACGCTCCTCACAGTTCCTCAAAGACGTCTGCAGCCTGCCCCGGCACGATTCCACTTTCCACTCCTCCACCGCACAGACTCCAAGTCATGCGTCAGGAGAGGATGAAGAGGTCACCTCCTTGGTGAGCCACCCCCTCAGGGCATTCCACTGTCCCAGGGACCCCAGCCCGCTGGGCCAGGTTCTGTCTTTCTCAGGTTCCTCAGAAGCCAAACCCCAAGTGCTCGGAGGGCTGCTGTCCCCTTTTTTCCTGTCCCCAGTCCCCTCCAAGAACCAGGCTCAAGTGGAGCTCAGAAACTGAGGCTCGGAGCAAGAGAGGACCCAGCCTCACAGCGCCTGAGCCAGGCCTGCACCTCAAGACTCAGGGTCCCGTGGGCCGGGGACCCATCCCCGACTCGCTCGTTCCTTCATTTCACAAGTGGTCATTGAACCCTGGATGGAGCAATGGTCCCCTAAAAAGAGCCACGTCCTAAACCCTCGATCTGTGAATGTGTCACCTTACGTGCTGAAAAGGACTTTGCAGGTATGGTTAAGCTGAAGACCTTAAAATAGGGAGATGTCCTGGGTCCTTCAAGTGACCAGGCAATCCCAGGGTCATCCCAAGAGAGGGCAGTGGCCAGAGTCAGAAGAGGACACAGGGTGACAGGGCAGGGACCAAACGGTGCAGGACTGTGGAGCCAGGCAAGCAGGGACCTGGAGGAGCTGGAGAGGGTGAGGAACCGGAGGGTACCCAGAGCCACCGGGGAGCACGGCCCTGGCCACACCTTGAGTAGTCCAATGAGACAGTTAAGACGTCAGCTTCCTGAGCCGMACCGTTGTACACTCGTGTGGTTTGTGGTGATTTGTTAAAGCAGGGAGGAGGAACTAACACAAGCACCTACTATGTGCCYGGTGTGCTGCCAAGAGTTGGGGAAAGCAGAGTTCCCTGCGTCTGTGGCGTTTGCCTCTGAGACAGACAACAGGCAAATAATACCAGACAAGGGCATGTCCCTGTGATGAATGCCACCAAGACAACAGGAAAGGGGAGAACAGGCAGACCAGGGGGAGAAGCTGTGGGCAGGGAAGGCCTCAGGAGGGAGTGACGTTCCAGGTTCCAGCCAAGACCCRGAAAACAGGGTGGAGCCTTCCAGGGAGAAAACACAAGTGCAAAGGCCCTGTGGTGGTCGGGACGGGGTGGGTGGGGTTAAGGGCTGGGGAGAGTGCTGGCCCAGCAGGGTGGCCAGAGGGGAGAGGCTGACAGGCAGGTCAGGCAGAGGGCCCATGAGCCTCCAGAAAGGACTCAACACGACGGGCACAGCCCTGCCTTGGGGGGCTCTTGGCCAAGGGCACTACACCAGCCTCGTCATAAAGRGACAATGTCTGATTCCACCGGTCAAGTCCCTAGATGGCCACATCCATAGATCCAGAAGGTGGCGGGGGGGTTGCCAGGGGCTGTGGCGGGATCRGGGAGGGGCACGGGGAGTTGGTGTCTGATGGGACGGAGTCTCAGTTCTGGAGACAGATTGTGGTGGTGGCTGCCAACTGTGAGAGCACATTTCATGTCACTGCGTTGCACAGTTGCGACGGTGAGCGTATGTTATGTGTGTTTTACCTATAAAGCGTCCCTCCAAATCCAGACAAGCCACTGGGACTGATGTCCAGTTAAATATATATATATACGCTCTCAGGACTAACTTCCAGTTTCAAAAAGAAATACAGGAAGTAGAAGAAGATAAATGATCCAATAAGGAAACAATCAGACAGAGGGRCCTTCAGACCTCTGCAGGGCCACTTCCCAGGGCCAGCAAGAAGATAACGCCATTTWAAAAACAATGTTAAGTGGCCAGGACATTTAGTGTCAGTCTCTAGGGACGTAAGGGACATAGCAGCCAAATACAGTATGTGGACCTGGGTTGAATTCTAGGTTTTATTGTTGTTGTTGTTGTTTTTTTTTTTTTTTTCGTTTTTTGGTACCAGGGATTGAACCCGGGGCGCTGAACCACTGAGCCACATCCCCAGCCTTTTTTGTATTTTATTTAGAGACAAGGTCTCACCAAGTGGCTTACGGCCTTGCTACATTGCTGAGGCTGGCCTTGAACTTGAGATCCTCCTGCCTCAGCCTCCCAAGCCACTGGGATTATAGGTGTGCACCACCGCACCCGGCAGGACTTCTAGTTTTGAAAACCAGCTTTAAGAGACCTTTGGAGAACATCTGGGGAACCTGAATGTGGCCTGGGTGTGGGGTGACAGTAGGGTTTGTTGTTGATCTCCCTGGGTGCATGAAGACTTCATGGATTGCAGGAGAAAGGTCCCATTCTTAGGAGATAGGCCTTGAAGGAAGTATCTGGAGGTGAAGGTCATGATGTCCTTGATTTCAAAGAGTTCAGGGGAAAATGCGTGTGTGCCGTGTGTATGCAGATGAGGGTGTAGGGGTATACAAATATGCACATGTGTGCACTTGAAAGTTTTGTCAAGTGCACACAGAGATACACTGATGTCTATGTAGTGTGTGTGTGTGTGAGTGAGTGTGTGTGTCTGTGTGTGTGTGTGTGTGTGTGTGTGTGCGTCCTTGGCTGTGTGCATAAGGGTGAGAAAGTCCCCGGGGAGAGAAAGGTGAGACAAAGCAAAAATGGCAAAATGCACCAGGGTGACAAGGGTACAGCCTGGTGGCAGATGTCCTGGGGATGGTTGAACTACTTACAGTTCTTCCTGGACATTTCAAATGTCATGAAGAAACCTGCTATGCTGCCCAGGCTGCTGTCAAACTCCTGCTTCAGCCAAGAAATATCTGAAGCGGAGCCATCCTGTGAGCACAGAGCYGTCACTGGAGGATGGAGTGACAGCATTGGGGCTGGTTTTTCCTCTGAAGTTTGGGGTTTTCTTACAGGGGCCCTGCCAGGGCTGAGGCCCTGCATGGGTGGGCTGAGGGACCTCCTGGAGAGCACCTGAGTCCCCAGGTCCCTCCGGGCTCTGCAGCAGCGCCCCAGCCCCAGCCCCTTCCCTGTGGGCCTGTGGCCTCTGCTCCCCGGCGCCCTTGGGCTCCCTAGGGCTGAAGAAGGGGTGGGCGCCCAGACAGGCCCAGGGACGGGCTGGTCTTCTAAAATACAAGGGGAGCCGGTTCCTCTCGGGCTGCAGGTGGGGAACCACTGGGGCACAGCTGGACGCACGGATGACCAGGTGTTTTCTCTCCTCTTAGGAAGTGACAGTGCCTCACCCCGTGCTGCCGCGGTGTGTGCCTGTCTCCCAGTCCCAATCCTCTGCCCCAGCCTTCCTTCTCCTCTTGTTTGAACTAACTTTCATTTATTAAAAAAAACCCCAAAAACAAAAAACAAAGCCAGGTCTCTGTACAGTGGCACCCGCTGTGGTCCCAGCTACTCCGGAGGCCAAGGCAGGAGGACGGCCTGAGCCCAGGAGTCGAGGCCATCTGGGCAGCGGAGGGAGACCCCATCTCCTAAACAAGCAAACAATAAAATACACAGAGGAAGAAACACCCCAAATGTCCATGAACCGACCAACAGACAGGAAAGGGCAGGCCGGGCGTGGGGTGGACGTTATTGGGTCTTTAAAGGGAAGGACGGTCTGACACCCAGAGGGACTGAGACGCTGCTGGGCAAAGTCAACCCAGGACAAAAGGACCGATGGGGGGTGACTGCACTAACAGGAGGGGYCTGGAGGAGTCAAACTCGTGGAGTCAGAGAGCAGAGGACAGGGAGAGTGGCGGGGAGCGGCGAGTTAGTGTTTTATGGGGACAGAGCTTCCGTTTGGGAAGATGAAGGACTTCTAGAGACGGAGGGTRCGAGGCCGCCCCGTGGCTGGAGGTRAGGCTGCTCAACCGCACACTTAAAAATGCTTAGAATTTAGGACGCGGTGGCAGGCCGGTGGTGGACCCMGACTTGGCAGGGGAGGCCCTAAGTTTGATCCCCAGCACTGCAAAACAAAATGGAGAAGTTAAAATGGTGAATTTTCTGTGATGCACATTTTATCACAATAAAAATGCATAACATCCCGTGTGCATTTCCACAAAGGCATTGTCACTCCTGGAAGGATACATAAGCGACTTGATAGCATTAGCTGCCTCTGAAGAGGGGACCTCGGCCGCGGGCAGGGTGAGTGACCTTCCACCAAACACCCTCTT